TATATATATATATATATATTATATTTATTACAATATTTTAGACTTTGGCTCTTACGATGGCAAAGCTTCCGCTTATAAGTGACAGATATTAGGGATAATAAGCCACCATGTATATTGGCTACAAGGGACTTATTCTTGAATCTATTTTCATCGCCCGGAGAGGTGTATTATTTGTACAGAGGGTGTCTCAACTTCTTGTTCTGGCGTAAAATTTTTATTTTATTTCAAGATCAATCAAAAGTCACGTTCCATTCATTTATCGTTGAATTTTTCTTAATATCAGCTATAATATGTTGATTGATTATCTCGAAAAATGTGACATTCGTCTAACAATTTTGACAGATGTAAAATATATTTTGGCAGGTCGAAAATATTTGAGATAATCAAGTACATATATTATCTCATACAGTCAGTCAATTGATTGTTTAAGAAAATTGTAAGTCTGTTTCCTTAGGCGTCTGAACGCGTCAACGATCGCTGATTCATAGGTGTATTACGTAATTGTAGATCATAAATAGAAGGCTCGTTAACGCGTTCAGTGTTTAGAACATGAATGGGTCATGTGGATTCACCAAGCTTATCATATCACTTAACACAATTTAGAAAAAGAATTGAAAGAAAGAAGAAAATTCCTCTTCGTTTGCAGCCTCTTCTGTTAACTCATTAAATATCAGCGTTTGTTCTCCATCGATTCGCATTATTGAATGTTTTGTTTAATATATTTTATCCTCATCTCTTATGCTAGAGCCCAGAAGATTTCAGATCTTTCTTTGTACTAAGTCCCAATTTTCGGAAATTGAAATATTTGTAGAATTGTGATAGACTATATTTTTTTAAATGATGGAAATCTTTCTTGTTGTACATTGTGCTTTTGTAAAATAATTGACAAAACACCATATAAGTTATTTTGCTATGTTCTTTAGAAGAGAATAAGATCTCGAGTATTTAACTTGTTTATAGTTAGTTTCACAGATTATTTTTCAATTGGTCATTCTCACCTGTCCAATGTAAGCTCCTCTAAATGATTCAGATCACAGGCAATGTACTCTAGGGCCGCGTCGGTGATTCTCGAGCACCAGCTCAGATCTAGCGATCGAAGTCTGGACAAATTTTCTGCTATTAATTCAACGCCATCATCTGTTACTTTACTGCACCCGGACAGCGACAGGACAGTCAAATTGGGCAAGGAATGTACTAAAAGATAAAACAGAACAGAAAGGAGAAATTATAATATTTGTTAATTTTTTTCGTTGACTCGTTACATTGTTAATGGAGAAATATGAAAACTATCGTATAAATAACAACAATCGGTCGTTGTCCTCGAACTATCTACGTATACTCACCTAGGAGCATGAGTCTGACTTGTTGTTGACAGTTTGAAAGCTAAATAAAGCGGTGTTCCTTAATTCTAAATTTATAATAGCCTGATATATGTAACCACCTGACTTAATTTCACAGTATCGTCTGTGAAAATTATTTCCACCTGAATCTTAGCAAAATGCTGCTGCAACCGTCTCGCTTTATGCGACGTTAACATCTTGAATTATGTTTTAGAATTTTATATATACAACGAAGGTATCATTGTATTAACTGACATAACTCAAAGATTAACTAGCAAGTATATATTCTTATTATACAGAGTATGTCTCGCCTGACAAAAAGACAGGCTTTGTCATTTTATCAAAGGATTAAAAATTGATTAATATTGCGCTTTATCTACATATTATTATAATTTCATATCACTAAACATTCAATGAAAATTCTCTACAGATTCTTTGGAGAGGATTTTATTGCGCGCCTCCAAAGATTCATTAGTTTAAAAACAGATGTTGCATAACTTCTATGTCTTGCATTTGTTTCCATTAATCGAGTTGATTTTTGTTCCAATCTATGAACCAGATATCTTATATTTTATCAGGAAGCATTGCATGGTTGGTAATGTATCGCTTATTCACAGATGTGTTGCAATTCAAATGAAAGATCTCTTACCAATATTGACTACACCATGATTAGTAAGTTCCCAGCAGGATTGCAGCCTGAGGATGCTAAGGCAGCTACTTTGAGTGGCATGGAAATATCCAAGGGCGGCGTCGGTTACATGGTAAGCTTGTAACGAGAACTCGTAGAGACTTGGCAGCAATTGAGCGACAGCACCGACAGCTTCATCGGCCACGTTGATACAATCAGACAAGGATAATGATACTATTCTAGGTGTCAAACAAGTCCACAGTCCGGGTTCCGTTATCTCGTTGCAACCCGCTAATTCAAGTTCGAACAATGCCTGAAAATATAAAACAACATATTTATAATAATATTCTACATCCTTTTAAATATCTGGTCTAATAATTCATTCTTCGATCTCGGAAATTGGGAAAAAATGATGATCTGAAACGAAAACTCTATCCCTAACGCACTTTTTACATAAATTGCTTTAACTCTCAATTGCCGGTTTTCAACATGGCATAAATAGAACGTTTGGAATAAAAAAAAAATTTTCATTTTACACGCAACGCAGTAATAAAGATCTCTTGCAGCTGTCAATTCTTCTAATGAAATGTTTCTAACTCTTGAATTTGAATGATTTGCAGTAAGAAAAGTAATATATGTAGACATACTTGTAAATGATCTAAAAGAGCTTCTAATCCCCTGTCAGTAATCGCGCAACATCTAAGCGACAGCGAGTGAATATTTTTCTGCGCTAACGGGAATCCGTGCGTCAGTTCCGGGATATCCTCGTCCGATGCGCCGAGAAGAACCAACGAATGAAAGCCTCTTCTTACTAAGGAAGCGTAAAGCCGTGTGCGCAAACTAGAAGGCATGGCACGCACTTCGCGACACCTTACCACAGGCACCAAGCCTACCCAGAGTCGAGGTCGTGCGTAAAGTATATCTCTCCATCTTAAGCATACCTGTAAGTTATTGAGTCGTTACATTTTCGTATATCATTGGAGAATAAACATCAAACACATGTAATAATAAAGATCAAAAATTTCAGATGTCAATATTTGCCACAGAATAAATTAAGAACTATGGTATGGAATCTCAATGTTGTTACATTTTCCACTTTCATTTTTACTTATACAAAATTTTCCAGGAAACTTTGCCAGGATGATTTCATATGTTCGTAACGACTGCTTAATAAAATGTTTATGAACATTATCTTATATAAAAATTGCATCAACATTGAATCAATATTAGCAGGCCTTTCAAAGTAAATAGAAAAACATCTGTTTATATCTTGAATTATATCCTTAAGGGATTCTTCCTCCAATGTAACATATTAGAATCTCTAAGTAAGCATATTGTACATAAACTGTATTATTTATAAATTTATACTTATTGTTGAGTTTACTGTTTCAAGCAGAGAGGAAAATTAATGTTTACTGTTTTTAAATACTTTTACAATATGGATCTTTAATTCTTAACTCAGATTATATAATTGATTTTCAACAGTTTGGACAAAGTTGTTTAATTCTCAAGTAAATAATACTTCGTATTCTCTATTTTATGCGTTAAAGACATAACGAATTTTATCAAGTAAGATATGAAATATAAATTAAATTTATAGTTTATTAATGATTTAAAATTTAACCTAATCAATCAGTTAAAATTATAATAGTCAACTGTGATTCAACAATCATAGGTGGTCAATCAGAACCAACTGAGAGTTAAGATCTAGAACATATGCATCATATATCAATTTAATCTTTCGCGGACGGCCAATATGAGAAATTTTTTAATACCAACATCTATAATCAAACAGTGCTTTTAACTCTAAATTAGTACAGTATATATATGGATCTACGACACAGGTAGCCAACAAGCTTGACGTTCGCTTTTAAACAAATATGTTCGTTTAACAAAACATCTTGCAACAAGATTCTCCTCAATCACAAGTGATTTATTTTATGAGCAAGAGAATCATCTTGCACGTTCAAGAAGACGACTATTATCTAATCGTCCTTACTATCTTCAATTTCATGATGAATCAATGCCAAGAATCGGGCGTTAAATACGTTCCGTTTTTCTGTAAGCTATAGTTGATCTTACGATAAAATTAAAAATTTCGATACTAATAAAATATTCTTTACTACGGTAAGTACGTATATGGAATACAGTTAAAGATAATATACAAAGATCAGATAAAATTAAATTACGAGTGTAAAGTAACATTTTTGTATCTGAGGATTAATTTCAGAGTTGAGCAACATTATAATGCCTATTATTTTTCTACGCAATATCTGAGTAACTTTTTATCAATTATTTACTCATTCAAAATCTATTTTTCTCAGTCTTAGCTCACATTATCATAAGTAGATAGAAAGTCAATGAATTTCTACTATAAGTTCTCTCAATTAAGTTTCTTAAAAATTAGTGAAAAAATATTATAAAGTTTAACATTTTTCATAATATTTTTCTAATATTATATTTCAAACTTGTGATTGGCATAAAAAATCATTTTCTATTTTATACGTATATGCTACACGATCCTTTCCTCGAAGAGAAAATGACAAAGTATCAGGTATACAGCGCAAGCGCTATTCCTTTTCGATTACGTATTCTAGCGTAACTCTTTCGAGCGAACGTTCCTGTCAAAAAAAAAAATAAAGTTATCACTGCACTTTGAAAACGGAACGTGTTAACATATTAAGAAAGGAAGAACAAAGATGAGAACAGGTCTGTTGTAAGTTTGATTAATAAAGATTATTTGATTTGCTGGCACCTGAGCCAAAATCCTCCTCTCGATGGAGGTGAAGTAGAGGAAGAATTCGCTGAGGAAATGATCGTCTTGCATCAGCTGATTCCACGTGGTAGGAGCAACGTATCCGCCTGTTCCACCGCTCGCCAACGGCACGTTCTTTGCTCGATTTCTCGATATCCTTGCCCTGCTCGGTGTACCGACGTTGCTCAAGCTCTTGTTGTTCGCCGATGGCATGTTGTTCATCGATGCTGGCACGCTTCTGCTCGGCTTTTCCGGGGTTGCGTTCGCATTATTCGCGCTCTGCAAATTCGTATATGGAACCCCGCCACTCCCGCAGAACACGTGAGTAACGCGTTCCATGACGCTCGCCTTTCCCCCACCTGAAACATTCCCATGATTTATTTAAACATCATTCTTTATTTCGTCTATGCTTAATTCGTTTTATTCGCTTATTATTCACAATGATTTATTAATAATCTTTCGATGACTCTTTCGTTATGAACATACCGTAATTATTTGGAATAATATCGAGTAAATTTTAGAGAGCTCTTTCTCTTCTTTCTCGAAAATAATATTTAACTTTCTCGATCGTGAACATTCGTGATTGAATGTTCGTTCACAGCTGGAAACTTACGTTATTCATGGATGTAAATGTCCAAGATGTTCGCTTGTAAATCAAGTTTAGAATGAACTATCCTTTCACTAACATAAAACCAATAACCATTGATTTACAAAGAACTTTATAAAAATAATCTCGAGTATAATTTTATTTTAGCATTCTCTCATTATTTGTTTTAATATCCTCTTCGTTTACTAATCCTTTTAATTTACTGATATTAGACAGTAATTTTGAAACAATTTATAAATTACTAATTTGTGACCATCTCTCTGTCAAAATAATTTGAAATGATTTCTGCTTTTCTATTAAAGATATTCACAATTATATATTATTTACAGTGATGTTTCTCGTTTGAATCAGGATTCCGTACCAATCACCATGATCTAAACAAAACACAAATAAACATAAACAAAACATAAATAAGACATGAAGTAAAACATAAGAAACAAACTGAAATATAAGTTTCAATGAACAAACAACTCTTTGAATAGTATTTTTCAGTAGTAATTTGTAATTTCTTTTTGTATCAAAGAAATTTAAAAAATAAAATATTATACATAAAAGATTTCCTTTTTGTCTTAATTTAAAAAAAATATTAAAGCGTTTATGATTATAGTTATAGATAAAGAATTCTACAGGGTGTCCTACAACTTGTGGTCAACCGATTAGGAAATGATTCTACACGTAAAAATGTATCGAAAAGGAAGAGTAAAATTCGTTCATTGAAGCCTTTGTTCTTTCAGAAAATCGAGTTTTAAAATTTGTCAACTATACCTGAATTCTAATTCCACGCTGAACAGGTGTAAATCCTCAACATGAGAATATTCTGCGAAGAAATAAGTAAAAGACATAAAATAAAGTTTTGTTTAAGGCGTCGTTTTCGAGAAAATAAAACTTTGAATACGTTTCATTAAAAATTATCTTAAATGCATGTGTACTTGATAAATTTTTAAACTCTATTTTTTCGAAAACGGAACGTTACAGAAAAATTTTATTCCATTTTGTTCCTTACTTATTTTCGCACCTTAGAATAACCTTCTGTCAATTGTTCTTTTTTGTCACGGTTGGAATTAGCCAAATTCAAGTATATTCGACAAATTTCGTTCTTTCGACACATTTCTACACGTAGAATCATCTGCCGGTCGGTGGAGCGCGAGTCGCGGGACACTCTGTATATCAATCGATAGAAGAATCGATTTTTCGAACGTTCTGTGCGTGCAACGAAGACTGGCAGGTACGTCTTCAAAGATATTTCTACAATGGTGAAGTCGTTGCGAAAATGCGGCAGTTATTTTCGTTTTATTTTTGAGCTGTATGTCCTATTTGGCTCTGCGCGCGTCTCTATTTCCTGTCTCTATCTCTTTATCGCACGACGAGCACTTTTTTCCCCGCACGGATCGCGTCCACCGACGATTGAACTGTAGTTCCACACTCTCATTCGAGACATTTGTCTCGTATTCGATTCTGTCACGTGACGTAACTCGAAGTGAGAGTCTACCAATATTCGAGATCAGAGGAATCGATCGAGCGCACCGTTGAAAAATCTTCTAACTCGCGATTAAAATAGACTTCATTGCAAAACGTTACATTGTAACAAGAGCAAGGTTGTGGAGTGCATTTCAAATTTATAATCAATATTGATCAGTCCCTTGAGAGTTCATACACAATATATTTGTTTTTGCGTGAAAATATAAAATTTTTTATGCCTGTTGATTCTATTGTCCTCGAGATAATAATTCGATTTTAAATTGTGAATTAATGAGACTTTAATCAGTTTTTTTAGAGTTAATTAAGATTAACATATTTAAAAAGTGAACGTAGTTTTCTAATAACGAACGCCAGGATTATAACGATACTACTGTTTCATACAATGACGTATAATAATGGTAACTATAGTATATGGAATAAAACGTTACAGGAGGTGCAGAAAAGAGAAACGTGAAAATAAACGTATATGTATATGAAATATTTTAAATATATATATAGGTGGAAGATGAAATTTTGAAGAGCTACGACGGTATTATATTAATGTAAAAAAAAAGAAGGGCTTCGTTTCATTCGAGAGGTAGACGTGCATACAATAAAAAAAATTCCTAACCTCAACATTTCAATGTAATCCTTCTACACGTGTGTAATGTAATTCCTAATAATTTTAACTTTGCAGATGAAAGAAGAAAATTGAGATTCGACCGAAGTCGATTAATTTATTATTTTGCAGTTCAAGTTTCATTCAATATTTTTGAGCCTCTCCTTGAAGAAACGAGAAACGATCGTGCTACGACACAGGAATGATTAATCGTTCGAGAAGAGGAGTCTGGTCGATCCTCCTTGATTTTATATGTCGTACAGAGGCTCTGGCGGCAATCCAGCCACGGTGATTGCCTATTTTACGTGTTAAAATAAATCTCTTGCTCTGTCGTGGCCTTTCTGTCGCGAGGGAACCGGCATGCGTACACGGCTTTTTGTCTCTCAATTCAAACAAACCCGATGCTCGTTCGTCAAACGCGACAAATCGCCAATTCACTGATATTTCCGGTTTCTAAATCGCCGACCTACTCCTGTCAACTTGTGCAATGCGCGGTAATAATTAACCATAATTAACAGTGGTAGAAATGAATTCAGGTGACACATTCCAAGCACACAATGCTTTGGTCATCGATGGCTTGTATTATTGTCGCTGGTATTATATTGTGAAGCCCTTTAGTATATCTTAAATATTGTACATTCGAATCTTTTATAAATGTTTTATAAACATGTTATACGAAATATTGTATAATTTCGTTAGCATTGTAACGAGGCCCAATCATTATGATTAGCAAAGTTTGAAACAAATCTGAAAGTGTACATAAAAGTTACAAGATATTTAATACAAATGTATATATATTTTGCAAAAATCATAAAAATACTGAAACAGTTAATTACTTATTATAAGCTATAACATTTAAATAGAATTATCTACATGCATGTTCAAGAGTGTCCATACTACATACCTATTAATTTTTTATAAAACGTATGTTTGCAGTAAATGTCTTGTAACTTCTATTTATTCCTTTAGTTTGGTTTCAGTTTGTATCAGTCTTATTACAGTGCTAATGAAATTTAAAAAATAATTTGCATAATATAATGCATATATAAAAGTTCCTTGTGACAAATATTTAAATGTGATTCATTGTATATATCTATTTTATATTTTGATATAAATACTCTTTTGTACAGATGAACCTGAGGAGAAGTTAAATCTTATCAAATTGCCATTTAAAAAATGAATAAGTATATCGAATATAACATGATCGACAGAAATAAAAACATCAGTACGAAAAATACTAGTGTTAAGAATGTATGTATATTTTGTGCTAAATTACGTTGCGTCTAAGAGAGATTGGAGTTAACAAAATTTTAAATTAACTTCCAAAGCATTCTTGCACGATAGCCTTGCTAATCATTGTTAACTTCTTTAATTTCTGGAAATTATTTTGAAGAGTAAGCTTGCAGCACATGTGTGTGTAAAATAAAGAAATATATTAGGTGCATTTTATTTACATTCAGTAGAGAAAAAGTAAATAAATTTTCATTGATAATTAGCCAGATGTGTTCTCAACTTATGAACTTACGAAATACTTAATTAGCATTCATGCGTGAATAGTCGAAAATCAGGGCAACTGATTGTAGTTAAATATTTTAGTTAATAATGAAATCCAACATTTTTGCCACATTCTTTAATAATACACGACTAAAGTTTTCCAAATTTGAAAATGTTACAGATTTTTCTCGAATAGTTAATACTGGCATACAATCTCAATGGACTTGTGTATAAGTAGAGTATCGCAAAAATGAAATTTAAATGAAAAAGAATAAAATTTCTAAATAAGATTCAATAAAAACGAAGTTTAAAGTTCTGAAGGCGTTTCAAAATTATCTGCGATAAAAGCATAAGATAAACATAAGGATATAACGTTAAAAGTTGTAAGATACATTAAGATTGCTTGTAAACTCATAAAAGGAGATCATCATCAAAAATCGTACGAAGTTGAAGACAAACACTTCTCCTCACGTATATCTTTTCCCAGATTTTCGAACAAGTAGAAAGTGCAACGTAAGGCAAAAGATTATGAGATGGTCAGTTTCTACGTTTTCACGTGCACGAGGACGAATGCTATTGATTCCATTGCAGTTCAGATTGCGACTAAAAGCACCTGGTGGTCGTTTTAACGAGTATTCTGGAAGAGAATTGCTGGGACAACGTCGGGCAATCAACCAATACCTGGGTGACGTTGCATAATACAGAATTAAGAAACATCACTAAAAAAACTCGGGGTTGTGATTTAACAGAAATCAATTTGTCATCGTGATTACGTAATAATGGCTGAATCAAAAATCGTCGATTACCACGATTTCAACGAAAATTCCAACACAATGAAACAATAAATCAGCCTCAGGGAGTGGGAAAAGAAATTAATTGGTAATAATATTTTGTCGAAAGTCTTTTCTTAAAGAATTGGATTGTACTTCGACAATTATGAGTTACTTTTTCAAGTTAGGTCAAAGCTCGGCGATCCCAAGTTACATATCGATTTTAAATTATTCTGGAGGGCCATTTGCACGAAAGATAAAATGGGCTACGAGGTGCTCGAAGTAATTAGAGTATCGTCTCTGTTCGATTGAGTTTATTGCTTAGCAATTTATTCTCAATGCCTTAGAAACCCGATAATTGTCACGTTTAATTTAGAAGAAACGTTGATATGTATGATTTTCTCTTGTTAAATTTTACAAATTGAAAGCATAAAAGAATATTTTGTTGCTGATTATATTTTTTTTATCTCTTGATATTATACTAAAAATTCAACGTTAATAAATCTTCTTAAGAATTTCGGTTGAAAGAAATACCGTGGTTAAATGCTCAGTAGTTCTTCAATATTTTTGCTTACAATTAATTCATTTTTCTGTCATACATTTAAAAAAAGCAAATAAAGCAAAAATAATGTTGATCAGTAATTTACCAACCATGATGTTTAGATGCTCTCAGCCCCAGACCGTTGATTCTCTTGGTCAACTCGGCGCTGGCTCTTTCGACGACCCCTTGCGCTGATATCGAAGACATCTCTCAAGAAGCAGAGGCGCACTCCCTTTGCTCAGCCACGACTCGTAGTCAAGACAAATAGGGATGCGTGTGGCCGTGGTTGGAACGTTTCATATTCGATAACCAACTCGAACTTCTAGTTTTGCACGGTATTTTCTCCACCCTTCTGCTCCTTTACTGCGTTTCGTTTTCTTTTCCTTTTTTTTCTTTCTCGTGTTTGGAATGTCCAATTGCTTTCACGACGATCACGAGATCTCCCAACACGTAAAGTTAACTGTTAATCCCGTGAAAGTCATTCGATTGTAACTTTCGCACAGCTTGCTAAATTTATCGGGCGTACCAACGAGCGTGGCCAAGAAAAACGAAACGCAACCCTTCGAGAGAGCTCGTCGGACACGGCAAATCGATGATGGAACGTTTTGCTGGAAGGATCTATTTTAATCGACTCAGCTCATGACAGTGAATCGTTCGACGAAAGATCTATAATGTCAGAGACACAGAAGCGGACGAAAGAAAAAAGGAAAGAAAAAGATCAATGACAAAGACACGTCACGATATAGTACAAATAATTTTCAACTCCATTCGACAACTAATACTCTTCGTACACAGCGAACAAAATATCACGTCCGCTGGTCACACCTCGAGTTTATGTAATAAACTCGATCACCTCACAAAAAACTGTGCAAACGACAGAATGCCTCTTCAAGACTGGCTGTCGAATCGATAAGCATCATCGTCAGAAACGTTTCTATCGACAACGATTTGATTCTTTTACGTTTAATGCATCGCCCCGACAGTCGCCGAAACCATCGAACATGTCACTGTATCCGTTCTCCGTTCATAGAGCACGATATATACACTATGCACACAGTCTTTTCTTCCTTTCTCGTTCTGTTTGTGTGTCATGACACCGAGCAGAAAACAAAGTTATTAGAAAGTGGAATTGCTGCAACGGGCACAGTACATGGGGGTGGTTTGTGCGAGACTGAATCGATATTCGCGCTGAACTTGTTCGGCTGCCCCCCACTCGAGCTGTACGAGACCGTGTGGTTTCCAGGCGCGAACAAACCTTTGACGCCTGACGAACGGTGAACCGACGTACTTATCGCATCGCCTGAAACTATATAAAACCACTCGACGATTTGAAGAGGTTGTTGCGTTACTCGTTGCGATGTGTACGATGGCGGTAGAGAGAAGGTAGAGGAACGCAGTAGCTTTAAATTGCTAAGATTGTGGATCATAAGGAAAAGGAATAATATTAATTTATCTCATACACGTGTTGACAAACGTTTAGCTAAAAATATAATGTATTTTGTATAGGAGTAATTGATATAATTGAAGTGTTAATGAGAATTGTATATTTTCTTTCTTTTCGTTTTAGATTTAACACATATACATCTTTCCAGTGATGTAATATCTTTCGTCTCTCTCTCTCTCTCTCCCTTTCTTTCTCCGATATAAAAAAAAGTTTTTATTTATGCTATTTTCAGACCAGCAATGGAATTCTCCAGTAGCTAAATTAAACAATCAGATTAGTTTGTTAACATACTTGTGTTGATCACATAAATGCAAAAGAAACGATGTATTGTTGAAATTCACCTTGAGATCCCAAACTACCAATTGACCATCTAAACCGCTTGTACTAAATTCGTTATTCGATATTTTACGCACACAATTGATAGTATTTTGATGTATACTATCCAAGGCATTATCGTTTGTATCAGTTCTCGCTTGACGATCCAGCGATTGAAATTTACGCATCGCGGACAAACCGGCAGCTTCTTTCTTTTGAGTGTTGTCTAGTTTCGATACAAAATATAATTGACCATTGTCATCTATAGAATATAGCATAGGCATACAACTATGTCCCTGAGGAGATTATTTAGATTATACTTAATTCATGATTTATATATTTACGCTGAAAATTATGAAATATAAAGATATAAATAAATACCACAGCAACAATGGAATTGGACCCCATCCAGACACAACTTAAAAATGGCAAATGCTCTGTGTACAATCGTATAACTGCATTTCCTTTAGTAGCATCTGCGATGCAAATTGATGAATTGTGTGCTACCCAACAAATTTTATTACCACAAGGACTAAATACAACAGAGTGTATCCAACCTCCTACATGTAAATAAAAAAAATATGATTAACAAATACATTTGTTAACATTTTTGAAAAAAAGAAAAAAAAATACCTCCATTGGGAGTATTTGGAAATTCAGCAAGTAACGTTCCTAAAGTATTACTATGACCCCATGGACCATTGCCAGGTGCATCTTCCATATCACTAATAAATGCACTAAATACACGAACTTTGTAATCAGTAGATCCAGCAACTAAAACTTTATTATCTGGATGCCAATCTACTGTAGTTACAGTGGACCTCAATGGACGTTTTATATGCTTACACTGCCACCAATTATTCTCAGACACGAAATAACAAACAGCTATTACTCTACCTCCGGAACCAACGGCAAATTTGTTTTCTGCAAAGGAGGAAATAAGTAATTCTTTCATTTATATTTTTGTACCTAATCTAACAAATGGTTGTACCTAATGGTGACCATTTCACACAAGTTGCTGCACGATTTATTCTCAAAAGCACCCATGCAGGATTCCACTTTCCATCTCCTTCTTGTGTCCAAACATACGCATTTTTATCTGCAGAGCATGTTACTATTCGATTGGTATTTGGTGCCCAATCAATACCCATGACATGCATGTCATGCTCTTGTAGATTCTGTAATAACTTCCAACCGCTGGATGTACGTTTGTAAACTTGAATCTCATTGTTATTTGGACAAATGGCCACTTCTGTAAATAAAAGAAATCCATCAAGACCAATCACTGATTTGACAAAGACATTGATACGTCAAACGAAAGTCAAACCTTTTCTGTCTTTATTCCAAGCATGACAACTGATGGCATCAACACCTAAGTTATGAACCTCTGTCATTTTTTATTTTACTTTCTATCAAGAATTCGATAAATTTTACATACGATATCTATGAATCACCGCACATAACCACACAAAGACGGGTGCGGTCACGTATCAATGTTGTGACTTTCTGATGGTCCTTCTCTACTCGCCACCAGAGGGATGCACGCCACGCATAAATCTCGAATCCTTAGTAACCATCCTTCACCATTTCATTGTTTAAGCCATAAACTTTCAATCATGGCTTTATCAAGAAGCCTTACACACTGACAAGATTACTGTTCCAAACGAAATGAGCTTTCCCTCCTTCTTTCTTTCTTTCTTTCTCTTTCTTTCTTTACTCTCCTTACCGTACCAGAGCCACAATGTAACTAGTCGAACTATATTTTTTCTGTAACTATACTATCAACGAATCGACGTTATGACAGATAAGAATAAATTGACAAATCACGTGATGGCAACTATTGGCTCATACCTGCTAGTGAATTATTATTTGAAAATTAAATTATTTTATTTACAATAACTGAAAAAACAGTTACATAATATACACATTTCTTGCTCTTTGAAAGAACAAACAAAATAAAAATTTTTATACGTTACGCGATTATTCTAAAGCGACAATCACCGCTTAATTTAATTTCTGACTACATAATTTTTCTCAATATAAATTACTAGTTAATATACATCAATGCAGTTATAATTTGAAAATTAAAATCATGAAAATCATGAAAAGTCTCAGTCGATAAAAAATTAATAAATTATTACATTTAACATTGTACTATA